CTACACACACACACACACACACACACACACACACACACACACACACACACACACACACACACACACACACATCGTGCGGACTTGTGTCAGCAGGTGCCAAGTCCGTCTTGCAGCGGTGGCGCGGGTCCATGGATGCATCAGCAGAGGCAACAGCAACACCGACAGCCAAGACCGCAGCAGCAACGGCAACGGCAGACAGCAAGCCGCAGCCTGCGTCGACACCAACAAGCACTGCCACAGCAACAGACCAGCGTAGTTCCACACCAGCAACACCATCATCATCATCATCATCATCATCATCATCATCAACGTCAGCGGCATCGACGACTGTGTCGAACGAGACACCGCGCATCAAGTCTGTTGCCGACCGGCTGAAGATGTTTAGCCAGCAGGTGCAGGCAAAAGATGCACAGACGCCCCCGGCAGCGGCGAGGGAAGCCAAGGCGGTGGCGCACGTGAGGGCGACAACAGCGGTCCCAGAGACAAAACCAGCCACCACAGCAACAACGACACCATCAGTCGCTGCAACAACAGCAACAACAGCAACAACAGCACAGCCAGCTACAACCACTACCACACCACCAACAGCAACAGCAGCAACAACAGCAACAACAGCACAGCCAGCTGCAACCACTACCGCACCACCAACAACAACAGCGGCAACAGCAGCAACAGCAGCAGCGTCGTCGCCGAGTGCGGGTCGTAAGGGCGGGATCTTTGCAAAGGCGGCGCTGTTTGAGGCGAAGACGGATGCACCATCATCAACGACGACATCGGCATCGTCGTCGTTAGCAGCACCGGCATGGGCGGCGCTTCGCAGGGCGAGTAGTGGCAGCGACGCAACGGAGGCAGATAAGCAACAGAGGGAGCAGAAGAAGAAGAAGAATGGGGAGGAGGAGGAGGAGGAGGAGAAGCAGCAGCAGCAACAGCAACAACAACAACGACAGGAGGAGCAGAAGCGTGTGGAGGACGTGAGTACTTCCAGGCCGGCAGAAGCAGCGACACCGACGTCAATTGATACCACCGCGGCCGCCACCACCACCACTGCGGCGAAGACTGAGACGGGCGCAGAGGCAGAAGAAATTCGCGGGTTTGAGAGTCCAGAGCGCACGGCGCGCACGTTTGAATTTGACGGCACAACGAAGCAACAGCAGGAGGAGCGAGAGGTGAAGATGGGGCAAGTGAGGACGCAAACAGCGGAGACAGAGCCAGTGAAGGAGCCAGTGAAGGAGACAGTGAAGGAGACAGTGAAGGTTGAGACTGGTATCCAGAAGGAAACGAAAGAGGAAGTGGCTCCGAGTCGGCCGACACCAATTCCGCTGGCAACAGATCGCCCCCACGCACACTACCACATGCAACAAAGAAGCGATGAGGAGGAGAAGAAGGACAAGGAGCAGCCGCCACAGCAGCAGCAGCAGCAACAGCAACCAGAGGAAGAGGAGGAAGAGGACGAGGAGGACTACAGCAAGTACGACCTGTCGATGCTGCCCAAGGCTGAGCGCGTGAAGATCCGAGCGAAAATCCGCGCTCAAAAGCGGCGACGCGAACAGCGTGCCAAGCAGCAGCAGCAGCAGCAGCAGCAGCAGCAGCAGCAGCAACAGCAGGCCAACGGTGGTGGTGCGGTGGTCGGGGACGGCACAGCCACACCATCAGCAACGGCAGCGTCGTCAGCTCCATCTGCAACGGGCGCGAATGGCAGTGCACCGCCGCCATCGACAGCGCCGCCAACTGCCAAGATGTCGCTTGGGGGCGCGGTCGAATCATCCTCCTCGGACACGTTGGCGCCACTGCCGTCATCATCATCGTCATCGTCGTCAGCAACAGCAACAGCAACAGCATCGTCCAACGGAGGTGTTGGCGCCGATGCTGACGCTAACGCTGGCGGGGACCGACGCGCGCGGCTGAGCTGGCAGGACGAGTTGCGGCAGAACCAGCTCAAGCAGCTGAGCGAGCGCAGGGCGCAGGAGGAGGCGGCGGCGGCGCGGCGAAGGAAGCAGGAGGACGCAAAGTCCGCCCGCCGCGCTCGGAAGGAGGAAAAACTTCTGGAGCTCCGTCGGGAGATGGAGCAGGTGCTTGCGAAGCCTGCCCGCGGCATCCTCAAGCCCCCAAACAGCGCAAAGGTGATGATGGTGCTGCCGACATGGTGTTGCTTGGTGTGTGCTGTGTTGTGCTGTTTTGTGCTGTTTGCTGTGCTGTTTGCTGTGCTGTGTTGTGTGCGTGTGTGTTTTGTTGTTGTTGTGGCTCCTCAACTGCAGCTCTTTTTGATGTTGACAACACCAAACAAAACACACTTCTTGTATGTGCGTGTGCGCAGAACACGCGTCGCATCAGCTGGTCTGATGCTCAGGGCGAGGGCCTGACCAAGATGAAGGAGATCCCAGCCGACTCTTACGACAGGTGCACACACACACACACACACACACACACACACACACACACACACACACACACACACACACACACACACACACACACACAAGTAGCGGTCCACAATGCCAACTTTGCGCGCGTGCGTGTGCGTGCGCGTGTGTGAGTGCGTGCTTGTGCGCGCGCGTGTTTGTGTAGCATGTTTTGGTAGTTGTTCAGTTGTTGCTCACGCGTTGAGGCCTTTGCGTGTGACAGCTACGAGAGCTCAGATGAAGAGGACGAAGTCGAGCATGCGTCGCTCTCGCTCCCTGTACACTATCAGGTGCAGTCTCGGCACGTACAGGTACGCTGGTTGCCCTAGGCTAACTGTAACGTTGCCGCCACAACTTTACACAACCACAACATGCATTCAGCTCATCCAAACACACACATACACACAATACACACACATACACACACATACACACAATACACACACATACACACACATGCACAACACACACACACACACACACACACACACACACACACACACACACACACACACACACACACACACACACACACACACACACACACACACACGCACAATACACGCACACATACACGACGGGACACAGCGAGCGCCGGCCGCGCCCGTCATGAACATTCGCCCGGCAGAGGATGATCCCCGCGCGTCGTTCTCGAGCATGGACGACAACGTCGCCACCCTCCTCTGGTAGCATCCACACGTCATCTCGTTTCGTAAACACACACACGCACTGACGCGTGTGTAGTTTTGCGTTGCTTGTGTCGTGTCGTGTTGTGTGTGTGTGTGTACGCTTGTGCTCTCTCTCTCTCTCTGTGTGGATGTGTGTGTACGCTTGTGCCTCTGCAACCCCCCCCCATGTTACGTCGTGGCTTCGTGGGTGTTGTCTTGTGGAAGGGTTGTGCACTCTTCACTTGTCTTTCCTTTCTTTCGTCACGGCACATCTCTGTGCGCGCGCGCGTGTGTGTGCTTGCTTGAAATTACGTGTTGTGTTTTGTTTGCGTTCACAGTGTAGGCTTTCCCATTCATTCGTTGGTGCCAGTACAACCAACCAGCACAACCGCAACCGTGCATGCAACGCACGCAAGCAGCGCACAGTGAGAAGGGGATAGGGGAAGTTGAATGCAGCGTGCTCGGAGAGGAGGGGGGAGGGGGACTGGAGACGGTGATACGAAACAAACAGATCAGCAACAGCACAAAGCGGCTGTGGCGATGGCAAACGAAAGGCGATCAGAGGAGGGTGAGGCAGCGTGACATCACATCACATGATGGCGCGTGATACACTTCGCTCAGTCACGCCACACCACACCGCTGCCCAGTCGCGGCGCGGCTGCTCAGTTGCTGTGCTTGGAGAAGTACTCCTTCTTCTCCTCGACGTCGGGCTTGATGGTGTCACCGCCAGGGGTCCAGCCGGCAGGGCACACCTCGCCGTGCTTGTCCGTGAACTGGAAGGCCTCCACCAGGCGCAGCGTCTCGTCAACAGAGCGGCCGACGGGGCGGTCGTTGACGGTGATGTGGCGCAGGATGCCGTTACCATCGATGATGAACAGCCCGCGGAGGTCAAAGCCGTCAGAGTCGACATACACGCCGTAGTCTTTGCTGATCTGGTGCGTCAGGTCAGCAAGCATTGGGATCTTCATGGGCGCGAGCCCGCCTGGCGGTGGCCATGTGTGTGTATGAACGTGTGGTTGTACATGTGGGTGAGCGTGCGTGCATGTGCGTGCATGTGTGGTTGTGTGTGCATGTGCGTGCATGTGTACGAGTTGTGTGCGTGTGTACGAGTTGTGTGCGTGTGTACGAGTTGTGTGCGTGTGAGTGTGAGATCACATGATGGGTGGTGTTTGCGGTTCCTCGAACAAGTTGCTCATCGTTGACAGTTGTGCTGCGAGGGAGAAAACAGGGATTGCGTGCATACCCTCTGAGCGCGGGGTGTTGGCCCAGGCGTGGTGGGAGAAGTGGCTGTCTGTGGAGGCGACAATCACTTCACAGCCAAGCTTCTGGAACTCCTCTGCACGATCGTTGAATGCCAGAATCTCCGTTGGGCACACAAACTGCACGATTGACAAGAGAATGTGGGCGTGCCGTGTCATTCGTGTGAGTGAGTGAGTGAGAGAGAGATAGAGAGATAGAGAGAGAGTGTGTGTGTGTGTGTGTGTGAGTGAGTGAGTGAGTGAGTGAGTGAGTGAGTGAGTGAGTGAGTGAGCGAGTGAGTGAGTGAGTGTGTGTGTGTGAGTGAGTGAGTGAGTGAGTGAGTGAGTGAGTGAGTGAGTGAGTGAGTGAGTGAGTGAGTGAGTGAGTGAGTGAGTGAGTGAGTGAGTGAGTGAATGAGTGTGAGAGAGTGAGTGTGCGAGAGTACACATGGCGTTTGAACGTTGGCATCGAAGCGGGTTGGCTGATGGAACCACAGCACAACAATCGGGCGCGAGTCGCACATACCGTCCAGTCAAGGGGATAGAAGACGAGGACAACGTACTGTGAATACAATCAAGCAGATCAAATCAAAGAGACGCGTGAGCACAACGACAGAACCCGGCAGTGTTGGCACGTGTGTTTACCCAGAAGATGAACAGAACGCGTCACAAAACAAACAAACAAACAAACACACACACACACACACACACACACACAACAAACAAACAAACGCACAAACAAACGCACACACACGCGCGCACGCACACGCACGCACACACGCACACGTACGCACACACACACACACACACCAACGCAAACATGTGCATCATAACGCACACCAAAGCATCCCCCAAACACTTACAACCAACACACCTTGCCCTTGTAGTCGGTGAGGGAGATGTCCTTGAACTCAGTGCCGTTGACAAGGGCGGGGCCCGTGAAGACAGGGGCGGGCTTGGTGACCATGGGCGTGTGCACTGCAGAGGCTGCGTGCAGCTTGGCTGCCTGCACCGCAAGCGGAGCAGCTGCCTGCTGCTTGAGCGTTGTGGCTGCCATGGGGCGGGCAACGCCGCGCACACCACGCTGTGCAGCCCGAAGTGCCATTCGCAGAGCCATCTTTGTTGTTGTTGTTGTTGTTGTTGTTGCTCTTCTCCTTGAAAGGTGCGACGTCGTCGACAGTGGTCAAGCGCTGTTTGGGTTGCGGCTGCCCGTGACAATACGAATGTGTGCGGAAAAAAACAGAGGAGGAGCAACAAGGTGAGTTGCGTGTGCGCGTTTCTGTCTTGAACCGAAATGCGAGAGAGGATACAGTCATGCCAGCAGTCATCGGAGGTAAAAGTGCTCGCTCTTCGTGGATGACGCAGGGAAGCACATCCACATACATCCACCACCACCCACGACGACAACGCACAGCAACAACGCACACTGTGACAGCACTCGTCATCATTCTTCTTCCTCGCTTTCTTTTCTTCCTTCTCTTTTTGCGGCCGCAACAAACCTTGGATAATTGGTCAAAACAACTAACAATTTTCTACAAACAAATCCCCCCCCCCCCAAAAGCAAGCGCCGCCATCAACAAAACCAACAAACCCTTGCCCACCACCAACAGAAGCACAAGCAACACGAGAGGTGTCACAATCACATCACCGCCTTCCCAAGCAGCAGGTGCGCTTTGATAAGGAACGAGCAACATCCGCTTGCACACGAGCGCGTGCTGCGTGGGAGTTGGTGTTGTGCATCCCATGGTCGAAACGAATAGGGGGCACGCACCCATCGCTTGAGTCTCTTCTCGATTGTGCGTCTACCTTGTGGAAATCAGCAAAGGCTCGAGCGTCAGCCCACGGCACAAGCAGGACAGCAACATCTTTCGTCGCGTTTTGGGTGGGTTGTGTTGATGCGTGCGACCGGGTGTGTAGCAGCAGCACCTGCAGCTGCAGCAAGAGGTCCAAGAGAAAATTGTGACTTGTAACAGTTCTACAACATCCCTCTTGCTTCTTGATACCATCTGTCAAGCAAGCAAGCAACACAATCCATTCACACCATTGCTGAACAAAAGGATCGTCCGCCGCCACATGTTACTGTGCTTTCCCAGCTCCTGCTCATAGTTGGTGTCACATTGACACACACGTTTGTGTCATTTATTCCATTCTCAGGAAGCAAGCCATCCCCTTTGCCAGAGCGCCATTCCGCGCGTGACAACAACGCTCGTCTTCCATTGATTCTTGAGTGTTGATCCAGCAGCCATCCAAACATGTCAAGCCCCAAAGGTGAGAAGCACGGCTGATGGTGGTGGTGCTCATGAACAGAGTTGGCATGGATAGTGTGCGTGTGTGCGTGTGTCCGTGTACTTGTTTGTGGCAGAGGGACTGCGTGTACTTTGTTGTGCGCGCTTGATTGTGTGCGTGTGTGTGCGTGCGCGCTTGATAGTGTGTGTGTGTGTGTGTGTGTGCGTGCGCGCGCTTGATAGTGTGTGTGATTGTGTGCCTGACTGCGTGTTTGTGACTGTGTGTGTGACACCATATACACTGTGACTGTGGAGTGCTGTTTGTTCTCTCTCTCGTTCTCGTTCTCGTTCTCGCGCGCGCTCTCTCTCTCTCTCTCTTTTTCTTCGTCTCCATGCGCCTGTGGTCGTGCGGGAGCCTGCCTATTGCCCACCACTATTCAACATGCCCATGCTCACACACCGTCACCACCCATCTCGCCCCAACCCCGGGACCACTGCGCAGGGAACGACGACCGGAAGCGGCTCGGCTCTTTCTTCAAGCGCAACCTGTCCATCCGTTCCACCTCCTTCTCCATCCGGCGAAGCTCGGGTGGCAGCACTACCAACAGCGCCAGCACCAACAACAGCAGCATCATGACCAGCAGCAGCAGCTTGGGCGCGGGATCGCGGTCTGCCCCGCGCACACCTCGCACCAGCGGCGACAAGGGGCGACTGCAAGACGCAACTCAGCACCAGCATGCCGTTCGTCACCGCAGCGAAACGATGGCCGCGCCGGGTGTGCACGCGCCGCTGCACCGGTCGCCATCAGCGCCGGGCGGGCTGCGTGCGAGCGACATGCGCATGACGGAGGAACAGCGGCTGGAGGTGATGGAGCTGGTGAGGGAGGGTGTCATGACGGTCGCAGACGCACACGCACACGTCATGGAGCAGGAGCAACAGCTGTCCCAGCAAGAGCAGCAGCGACCAAGGCGGCGCCAGTCGCGCCAGTCTCGCAAGTCACGCCCTGCTCGCGCGTCATCGCCGCTGTCCACATCCACACCCTCTCGCGCCGTCTCCACGTACAGGTGTGCACTTGTTTGTTTATTTGTACGTGTGTGTGTGTGTGTGTGTGTGTGTGTGTGTGTGTGTGTGTGTGTGTGTGTGTGTGTGTGTGTGTGTGTGTGTGTGTGAGTGAGAGGAAGGGGCAAGTGAGTGCGCGCGCGCGTGTGTGTGCCCTGCGCGTGGTTTGTATTGGCGGTTGCGTCCCCGTGCTTGTGATGTGGTGTCACCTTGATCGCTCTGGTGCCAAGCCGCTCATCCCTGCGCGTGCTGCGTCTTGTCCAATGCGATAGCAATGGCGTGGATGAGGAGGCGTTTGCCATGCTTGCCACAGAGCTTGAGGTACAGTGCCCTGCCTGTGCCTGTGCGTTCGTGTGTGCTTTCGTGTGTGTTTGTGTGTGTGTGTGTGTTTGTGTGTGCGTGCGTGCGTGTGTGTGTGTGTGTGTCTGCGTGTGTGCGCGTGTAAGAACCTGCTTGCGCTGTCACCTCTGAGCACAAGATTCATCCTTGTCCATCCACCTTTGTGTTCATGTCAATTTCACTCACTGACATGCAAATCTAACCACCCACTCACCCACTCACCCACTCACCCACCCACACACACTCTCTCTCTTTCTCAATCGCTTTCCATGAAACATACTCACTCATCGCCACCTCCATCACGATCCCCCCTTGGCTCGCGCAGGCCAATGTGCACGAGAAGCGACGTCTGAGCATGAGCAAAGCGAGCAGCAACAGCAGCGTCAACGCACTGGCAACCCCATATCCAACCGCCACTGGCAACAGCTCACGCTGCTCCATTGCGTCGTCCCCAGCGCGGTCACCGCGCCAGTCGCTCGTGCCCCGCACCAACAGCAGCGAGGGCGGTGTCGGCAACGGACCAATAAACAGCGATGGTGTTGGTGGCGGTGACGGCGGCGGTGGCGACAGCAGCGGCGGTGTGGATGGCGATGCGAACGGGCGCATTGATGGCGCTGCCGACGACAGCAGCGGTGCTCACACCCCAGCGCCGACCAGCAGCAACAGCAGCGGCAATAGCGCCAGCAAGACCACGCCTGCGTCGCAAGTCGCCAGCGGGCGCAGCAGCATGGCGAGCGAGCCCGTCGTCATCTCGCAGGAGAAATTGGACGCCGCCATGGCGCACGTGCTGATGCGATTGCGCAAGAGCACCGACGTGCGCGTGAACCATCCGGAGCTGCTGGCCGTGATCACGCGCTTGCACGAGGGCAACCTGACGTTTGATGCCGCCATCCAGGCCGTCACAAACGTGGAGCATGAAGCCGTTGGTGTTGCGGAGAGCGAGGCAGCAGACCTCGACCCGCCCTTCCCTGCCCGCGTCGTCACGGCTTGGTCCGCCAGCATGTATGACAAAGACGTGCTGCACGTGCCCTTGAACGAGGTGGTGACGGTTGTGGAGCGGTGCGAGCCCTACTGGCGGTGCGAGTACAAGGGCAACACGGGCTTGGTGAAGTTTGTGTACCTGCAGCGCATCCCCTGGCAGGAGGTGTGCGACAAGCGCAAGTCGCGGGCGTGGCGGCGCTCCATTGCAGTGTTTGACGACCGTGTTGACCGGCCCGACAGCATGATCAGTAGCACCACGTATGGCAGCGAAGGTGACGCGTTTGGTGGCGATGCACATGGCGATGGCGATGGCGATGGCGATGGTGATGGTGGCGCCAAGGAGGCAGATGCGCGGCTTGCAGGGGTTGCCGAGGAGCAGGAGGAAGAGGAAGAGGAAGAGGAAGAGGAAGGCGAAGAACAAGAGGGAGAAGAGGAGAAAGGAGAGGGGAATGGCACGGCTGATGGTGACGATGAAGGGAGAGACGATGGTGTCCGTGACGGTGATGACGATGAGGGCGCGGACTGCGAGTACAACGAGACGGATAAGCAGGAGAAGGAGAAGGAGGCGGAAAGCGCAGACGCTGATGGCATGGCTGCGCGTGAGGATGACATGGCCGCAGACGGAGGCACAGAGGAACCCGCCGCCACTTGTGAAGGAGCGTTGACACAACAACAGCAACAACAGGAACCACAACAAGAATCCCAGCCGCACGACCAGCGTGAGAAGCAAGGCGTGGAGAACCAACAACAACAACAGCAGCAGCAGCAGCAGCAGCATCAAGAAGAGCCGCAGCGCAAGAGCCTGCTGCTGGAGACGCCTGAAGGGAGTGACGCCAGTGACGACGAGCATGACGGCGACGACGATGGCAGCAGTGCTTACGACGCGGAGGACATTGCGGCACAGGCAGCACTGGTTCGCCTCGCATTGCAGGAGGCGCGAGCAAAAGTGGTGGTCATGCACCCGCCCATGCTGCGTCAGCGGGCGGTGACGCTGGCAACGAGCGCCGTGCGTGCGCACACGCGGCCCATCAGCAGCAGCAGCGGCAGCAGCGGATATGCGGGCAGCACGACGGCGTGGAACCCGTTTGCCGAGATGAGCAGCGGTGCAGGCGACACAAAGGCGGAGGTAGAGCAGCAGCTGCTGAATGGCGATGGTGATGGTGATGGTGATGGTGATGGTGATGGTGATGGTGATGGTGATGGTGATGGCGATGGTGATGGTGATGGTGATGGTGATGGTGGCGACGAGGTGGTAAGGAATGTAGAAGAAAGAGAGGAAGCCGAGGAAGCACCAGAGCAAGTACCAGAGGAAGTACCAGAGGAAGTACCAGAGGAAGTACCAGAGGAAGTACCAGAGGACTGTGTGGATGCTGGCGATGGTGACGTCGCTGGTGCTGTTGGTGTTGATGATACTGATGTTGTTGCTGGTGATGATGGCACTCACGAGTCTGCGACTGACAACAACGTTGTTGATGGTGGCGAAGACGATGACGACGATGACGGGGATGTCGTTGATGTGACGGCACTGCCTGCAGCTCAGCAGCGCGTGGATGACGAACAGGCGTGCGACGATGTGTCTGATGGTCACAGCGATGCAAGAGACGCCACGACAGCGCATGATGCGGCCGATGGTGTCGGTGATGACGTGAACGTGGACGCCGCCCCTGTCATGGCGGAAAACCACGGACCTGTGTTGCAGCTCGCGAGCCAAGCCAATGGTGCTCTTGCCACTGTCGTCGACAATGGTGACGGTGATGGTCACAGTGATGGTGATGGTACGAGGGGCGTGCACGACGAGAAGGGGAACGGCGCCGCCATCAGCGCTACGGTTGCGGAACAGCTGACCATCAACCCCTTTGGTGACGATGGAAGTGGCGATGGTGGCGGTGATGGCAGCGACTGGGCAACGTTTTCGCCCCCGCCAACAATGGCCACAGCAACAGCACCAGCTGCACTGCCGTCCATCGCCGAGCATCCCGAGTCATAGCGTGGCCAGAAGACGACTGCATGGCTGGATGGGTGGATGGGTGGATGGCTGCGTGTTTGGTGGAGAGGGTTGAGGCCTTGCTGGCTCATGATCGTGTTCGTTGCCATATTCGTCGTGTTAGCACCGCGCATGTGGAAAGATTGAGAGGTCGAGTGATCAAGAGATGTTCACCGACGTAGGTTTAGTTCGTGCTTGTTGCTGTGTTATGCGTATTCCCTGCTTGACTTACGTGAAGCCCGTGATAGATCCGAGATTGTTGCGCTGTTGTTGCGTTTGGCGTGTATGTTTCCCGGTGTTGCTTCTTCTACTTTCATTCCGTGTTACATTACATTCAATGTGTGTGTGTGTGTGTTTAATGTGTGTTGAATGTGTGTTCACGCCAACACGCCAACACGCCATTCTCACTAGCCACAGAGCAGATGCTATTGCGCAGTGGCAGCGGTGGTGGCGTGGGTGGCGGTGTAGTTGTCTTTGGTGTCGGTGTCGCCGTGCTTGAATGGGCATTTCTCCGCCGGTCGGGGACAGCCATCTGCACCATAAAGTCCACAACGCATGCAAGCACACATGTGCAACAGGGCAACGGGGTTGAGGAAGGGAGCATTGTGTCTCTTTGTGTATGTATGTATGCATGTATGTATGTATGTATGTATGTATGTATGTATGTATGTATGTATGTATGTATGTATGTATGTATGTATGTATGTATGTGTGTATGTGTGTATGTATGTATGTGTGTGTATGTATGTGTGTGTGTATGTGTGTATGTGTGTATGTATGTATGTGTGTGTGTATGTATGTATGTATGTATGTATGTATGTATGTATGCATGTATGTATGTATGTATGTATGTATGTATGTATGTATGTATGTATGTATGTATGTATGTGTGCGTGTGCGCGTGTGTTATGTGCACCTGGGTGGTGTTCAAAGAACCAGCACATGCGGGTTTTGCAGACGCGCGGCGGTTTCTCATCCGGGGCCGTCCAATCTCGAATGCGCACCGTCCCACCCACCACTGATGCACGATGGTGCAAGTGGTGGTGGTGGTGGTGGTCGTCGTCGTCGTCGTCATGCATGATGAACGGATGTGAAAGCGTGAGGGATGAGTGAGTGAGTGAGTGAGCGTTGGCAAAGTAGGATCGCGGTACACAGGAGCAAGACACAAAGGGGAGGCAAGACGTAACACAGCTGCAAGGTATAGCATAACGGCTTGAGATGGCGCGTGGTTTTGGCAGCAGAGCTGAAGAACACACACCTATGAACACTTGGTGGTGGTTCTTGAGAAGGGTCTTAACACCGCCGCACTCGGACTTGAGACGCTTAAGGCGTTCACGCCCAAGCAATGACGCAACATCTTTCAGGTGCAGTTCGCCTGGCATTTTCAAACACAGAACAAAACGAAAACGATGAACTGCGATCAGCGACTGGTGGCACATGTGTGCGAGGGATGTGTTGTATGGCACGATCTCGTATGGCCGCACGCATGCGGTGTTACAGCACAGAAAAGCGTTCATGTACACATTGTGTGTGTGTGTGTGTGTGTGTGTGTGCAACTCACCACCACGCCGCCAGGTGCCGTCCAAGCACTCGCGACCGCCGGCACCATCATCACCACCACGGATGTCACCACCGTTGCCGCTGCCAATGAGACGCTGCACAACCAACAGCACACACTCGTGGAGGAACGGGCGCGGGAGCTTCGTGCAGTTGCGGGTCACTTGTTTTCTGTGGATGGCGGTGTGCAGAGGGAGAGCAGGTGTGTGTGTGTGTGTTTGGTGAGGCAAGTGGTGTTGACACCAACCTCGACCTGACGATTCCCGTGTGATGCAACACTCACGAACACAACACGAGCATGGCATGTGAAAGATGAACACACACACACACACACACACACACACACACACACACACACACACACACACACACACACACACGCACACACACACGCATGCACATACACCCATGTTGCATTACTTTGGTCGGGGAGTGAACTGCCTGTGGTCCATGAGAAGATCGACGGCAGCGTTGCGGTGCCGGTACTGTCGTGCATTTGGCAATTGGCAATTGGTACACGAGAGTCGTCAATATGATGGCCAAACCATCGAGTTGCATGGACGTGGGAGTGCGTGTGTGTATGTATATATGTATGTGCGTGTGTGTGTACTGATGCATGTGCTGGGCTTACGTGAGTGCTGTCATCGATATCAGCTGCGCGTGATCCAATCTGTGGAAAGCAATGGGCGAAGTGTGGCAGAGAGAAGAAAGAGGTGAGGTGGAGAGCGAGGGCGAGCAAGATCACATGTGTACATGCAGACAGTGCGGGTTTGAATTACGTTAACATACACACAGCACACACACACACACACACACACACACACACACACACACACACACACACACACACAACACGCACACATACACACTCACCAAGCAGACGCGCTTTGTTGATGGGATGCGAAGAACATCCGTTGTGACGTCAAAGCCGAGCGTCTCAACGAGACCGCGCACATACGCAAGATAGGAGTCATATTGACTGGCGGTGCCGGGCGCCGCGGTGTGCTTAATTGCGTTTAGCTCAAAAGGACAGCAGGGCAGCACCCACATGCGCTGGTGCGGCGACGCAAGCGTGGCCATGATGGGGAGCCAGGGCGTGAGCTCGTCGCTGTGATTGCCAATCAGCCATTCGCACTGCGGGAATGTGCAGCCCAGCCTGACGCAGGCAGTGAACGCGTGGTTTTTAGTGTGTGTGAGTGAGTGAGTGAGAGAGAGTGTGTGTGTTTGAGTGAGTGAGTGAGTGAGTGAGTGATTGATTGATTGATTGATTGAGTGAGTGAGTGAGTGCTTGCTCTCTCTGTCTCTGCTTATGAAAGTCTCTGTCTCTGTCTCTGTCTCTGTCTCTCTCTCTTTGTGTGTGTGTACGCACTGCGGGTTGACGGGAGCCTCGATGAGCTCTGGCTTTGGGCGATACCAGTCCCAGATGCGGCGGCGACGCAGGTCAATGCCAATCCCTGCATGGAGGGTGGGCGTGACGGGCGTGGGCCGTGTGATTTCAAGTGCTCCTCTCCAGCAAGCAGCGGCGAACATGCACGAGGGGCAGGGGAGGGAACACACACACACACACACACACACACACACACACACACACACACACACACACACACACACACACACACACACACACACACACCTTTGTATCCTTCCTGATTGAGGACATAGGTGAGGAGGCCGTTACCGCAGCCAAGGTCAGCAAACTTGAGCGGGAACAACGACGACGACGGCGACGATGAGGATGAGGATGGTGGTGAGGATGAGGATGAGGATGAGGATAAGGATGAGGATTGTGGTGATGGGGTGTGCTCGAAAAGCAAGCACAGATATGCGGCGATGCCCAGCTCCTCAAACACAAACTTCTGGGGGTCGGTGCTCTCGGGCCACTCCTGCAGTGTTTGTGCACGTGTGTGGACGTGTATGCGCATGAGATGGCCGATGAGCGAGCAGTCACCTGACGTAGACACACGTAACAAACACCACACACCTCCCACACACCTCCCACACACCTTTCACACACACACACACACACACACACACACACACACACACACACACACACACACACACACACACACACACACACACACACACACACACACACGTCCTGCCCTCCCCGGACCGTGGATCTCCACCTTGACGAGGGTTTCGGCGTACTTGGCCTTGAGGTCCTGGTACTTGTCTGCGTACTGGGTGAGGGTGAACGGCCGCGTGTCCTCAGATGCGCGCCACTTTGCGAGCGGGCCCTCGCCACTGGATATGCTCCACTCTACCACCTTTGGCAGCAGTCGGTCGCGCAGCCACCGCACTGTTGGCCAGGACGCCGCCATGTCGGCTGTATCCTCGCCCTTGCTGGTGGTGTCGCTAGCGTTGGTGCTGGAGTCGCTGGCGTCGGCGGTAGGCGTGGGTTGCGCAAACGGATCCACAGGCAGGCCCGTGTTGGGATCGACCCAGCACGACAGGGTCATGGTGGCGGCACCGGAACTGTCGGCTGTTTGATCGTCATCCCCACGCCACGACAGGCGATAGCACGGCCTGACACCAGCAGCCAGCGCATGCGCGTAGCGTGTGTGTGTGTGTGTGTGTGTGTGTGTGTGTGTGTGTGTGTGTGTGTGTGTGTGTGTGTGTGCGTGGCGGCAATACACTGATCCTGGATCCTAGGATTAAACTGGGCCCAAGTGGTGCGTAGATTTTGGGACGAACCCAGACTTTCAGAAGAGCTAAAGCTTACTTAGAGTACCTAATTACCAGAGCGAGAGTAAAGGGTACCACTATGGTGACACCGCGGTCGCCCTCCCTTCTCAGTTCGGGTCTTTCATCTAGTACGCTTGACCCACATGAGTCCGTTAGTTAACGCGGGCATATGTGTGTGTGTGTGTGTGTGTGTGTGTGTGTGTGTGTGTGCGTGCGGGGTCACGTAAGCATAGAAGCAGCAGAACGAAGTCAGGTACCGGGGGGGGGGAGGCAGGTGTACACAAGAGTAACAGCTCTGTTCGGCTTCCTTCCTCTCTCTCTCTCACACACACACACACACACACACACACACACACACAGAGCGAGAGAGACAGAGAGACAGATAGGTAGAGAGACAGAGACAGAGATAGATAGATAGATAGACACACACGCACACATACACAGACACATACACAGACACATACACAGACACACACAGAAACACACACACGCACAGACACAGGCATACACGCACAAACACAGACACAGACACATCCACATCCACAGACACATCCACATCCACATCCACATCCACATACACACACGCACCGGCTACTCACGTGTAGGAGGAAAAGGCGGTGATAGGGATAACGGTGATGGTGCAGCCGTCATCGGTGGTGACAACAGCGTCGAGGGCGTGGGGAAAGGCCTGGGGCATGCGCGAGATGAGACGACGCACGGTGATATGAACCAGCGGGCCGCTGGATGACGATGTTGCAGCTGCACTTGCCAGGATATCACGGGGAAGATGCGGCTCAACACCTGCGAGAGCACCATCAGCCCGATCAGCCGACGACGCCAGGTGAGCGCGCTTCGGTGCGTGCGCTGCGCCCTCGTCCGCCTCCTCCTCACTGCCACGGTGGTGGCCGGCATCTTCACTGCCATCATCCGCGCCAGTGATGCGAGCGCTGCGCCAGTGGTTGAGCAGCGTGTGCAGTGCATCCGCCACACTCAGCCCGGCATGGCTAGCTGTGCGCTCGCATGCGATCAGCCTTCGGTTCACCACGTGCAGCTGCTCCGTGAACACGCCGCAGGCACGCGCAAAGCCTTCCTTCGGGCCACACGACAGTGAGGTCACAGGTTGCCACATTGTCTCGCTCGCTTGTGTGTTCTCGTGGTTGGATGGGGTGCACGTGTTTGGCTTGGTTGTGTGATAACTGTTTTACATGTTCTCTGAGTCGACACAATCACGACATCGTGCATGCAAGCAACGTCACCTCCACTCCAGTCGCCCTCTGAAAGGTTTCTGCGCTCGCTCTCTTCTCTTGTCACACACACACTCACATACGCTCTCTCTCACACACACACACACACTCTCTCTCTCTCACATGCACACGTGTCGGATGCCCTCCTTGTGTTGGCCTCATCTCCTCGCTGCTCTAGTTTGCATCTCCATCATCGTCGTCGCCCGCGAACTTGTCCTGCAGCCGCGCGCGCGTGTACACATGTGGCGGGAGGAGTGTGAGAAGGAGGAGGCAGAGGGATAGAGAGGAACGCAAAGGGACGGGAGAGACAGATGGACAGAGAGAGACGCAGAGACGCAAGCGACAGAGAGGCAGACAGAAAACGAACACACACACACACACACACACAGACACACACACACCGCAGGGGGAGGGACTGACCTCGTGCAGGAGCTGCATGACCTGGTCGACGAAATCGTCCGAGTGCTCCTTATACTGCACAGCGCTCTCAATTGCCTCGTTGAACACCTGAACACACAGGAGCACAAGCGCGGTGAGGTGGGGCAGGGAAGACGATGCAGATGTGTGTATTGGTGTTGACACGCGGCACTCGCATTCCGCCTCGCCACACACACAGTACACAGACACACACACAGACACACAGACACAGACACACACACAGACACAGACACACACACACACACACCTTGACGACGTTGGTGCCGTCTGAAGCTGAGACAAAGTGGAAGGGGAGGCCGTGCTTCTTTGGGAATCCAAACGACTTTTGTGTCACGGAGTAGTCAATGTCAATCTTGTTGGCAACGCAGATGACAGGGATCTTCGGGCGGTACTTGCGCAGCTCCTGCACACACGCACATGTAAGCGAGGCGTTCACACTCGGCACACACACACACACACATGCACACACACACACATGCACACAAGCAGATCCACACACATGAAGGGCTGCAGACGCACCTTGTACCACGTTTGCAGGTTTTTGTATGTGACTTTTCGAGTGATATCAAACACCTGACATGGAAGCACGCAGGTATGACGACGTGTACGATGTGTGAGTGCTGCATGTGGTGGCAAGGCAAGCAAGCACGCGGTAAGGGTGCAACAACGATCAGGGGAGCGAGGCAGGAGGTAGGGTGGTGGCATGCAGCTACGCACCAGGATGCACGAGTGTGCTTCGTGATAGTATGACGGGTGCATGCTACTGAAGCGTTCCTGTCCAGCTGTGTCCCAAAAGTCTGTTCGATTCCACACATACACGCAGGTGAGTGGTGATGCGTGCCCATGTGTTGTGTGTGCGCAAGTGTGTGTGTGTGTTGCATGTCTGTGTGTGTGTGTGTGTGTTGCGAGTGTGTTGCATGTCTGTTTGTGTTGTATTTCTGTTGCAAGTGCAGTGCATCTGTGCGTACATGTGTGTGCACGACCAACCAAAGAGGTCACGGGAAGTTGACACTGGAAGGAAGCACAAGCATATGTGCATGCGCAACTGTATGCCAAGTGCAGATTGTGTACAACTTACCAACGACAACCTCCTTGTCTCCGACTGTCGCCGTGTGCTTGAACAAGGTGAGGGCATATGTGGAGAGCTGGTGGGGTTTGTAGTCGTCCATGAGAAACCGCTCAACCAGCCTAGGGGTTGGGCGATACAATGGGTTGATGGCATGTCAGCTGAGTGACGAGCGCGTTGTGGACAAGTACACGCAACAAGGATCACGGCACGTACACGAGCACGAAAGGAAGGATCACGGTATGCACACGCGCACGTCCAGACACACACACACACACACACACACACACACACACACACACACACGCACGCACGCACGCACACACACACACACGCGCACACACACACACGTGCACACGCACACACACACATGCGCACACGCACACACACACACACACACACACACACACACACACGCACACGCACACAGGAGACGCACTTTGATTTGCCGACGGCGCTGTCTCCAAGGCAGATGACCTTGACTGTGTTTTCGCCCGTCCCGCTGGTTTCAGCCAGCTTTGCCACGTCGTCAGCCATGGTTGACCGCTGTATCCTTGTGTGTTGTTGTTTGTGTGGACCCTGGGTTCCTTTGGGGCGTGATAACAAGGGATGGAGATGGAGATGAGCTGGTTGGGAGAAAACAAGCGTGCAACATCACGAGTTTCACGTTGCACGGTGTCAGTGTGTGTGTGCATATGTGTGTGTGTGCATGTGCGTGTGAGTGGTTGACTATCTCTTTCTCTCTCTGTCTCTGCCTCTGTCTCTGTCTCTGTCTCTGTCTCTCTCTGTCTCTGTCTCTGTCTCTGTCTCTCTCGTTCTTTTTTTCTCTCTCCTCCCCTGACAAACAAACTCACAGCACATGCACACACACGGAAGCACACACGAGCACAAACCAAGCACCATCATCGTCGGCATCGTCGTCGTTGTTCACATCATCATCATCAACGTCATCCCGCCCCACGCACAACGCACGCCTCGCTCACCTTCTCAACCAACCACAGCACAGCAGTCACACAAGTTTGCTTGCTTGCTTCTTGCTTGTGCTTTTTCAACTCCTCGTCTCGCGTTCGTCCGTTTCGTTCAACCCGATTCTCAAAACTGAGTTCAGTCAAAATACAATTGTGTTAGAATGAGAGTTGCGGCCTGGTTCTATGACGTCGGGCGAGTCATGTGCCCGAATCCTCCAGCAGCATCGATTTCCTGATGAAGATATTCATGAATCAGGGCATGCGGGACCTTCGCAACATCTCCCCGACAAAAAAAAAAAGTGGAGGAGACTGCTCCAGCAAATTGCTAAACCCACGTTGTCCTCTCTCTCGCTTCTTGTGTTTGCCCCCCTCCCCACAACACCACGCGCACACGCGCACGCTGTCAGTGCCGCTGCGCCTTTTCTCTTCCTCGTGTGGCGTTGCTGCCTTTGTCTCCTCCCCTTCCTTCCTTCCTCTCCTGTTGTGTGTGCTTGCTTGCTCCACGCAACACCGCACCCGCCTTTCCTCCCCCCCCCTGACTCTCCTCCACACCCAACATCAGCTCCACACAAACGCATTGTTTTGGTTTGCTTCGTCCCCCCCCTTAACACACACACTCTCTCTTCGTTGCTTGCCCCGCAGCGACAGCAACGCATAGCAGCCTAAACTACAGCCACGCAGCAGCAGCAATCGAAGCAGCCGCACGCACCACCGCTTGTTGTTCTTTCGTCTCTGCTTGAGAGATATCTCCCTCTTGCTGACTTGGCGCAAGTGCCAACGCACCTTTTCGCATTCAACAGCCACCACACACACACACACACATCCGCACGATGATGGATCACAACGTCAGCGACACTTGCGTGGCCTCCGCAGCAGCCTGCGACGCCGGCATGGCCGCCGATCAAACTTTGCTGGGAGGCATGATGATGGGCATGACCGCGTCCGGCGTGTGGAACACCGCCTTGAGCGCCACCTACTACACTGTCGTGGCCTTCCTCGCCTACATTGTGCTCGCCCTCATCTACATTGCACCGCGGCCCAACCTCTGGATCAAGGCCTTCCAAGTTCGCAACACAAAGTGCGCTCATGTGCTGTGCTGTGGTGTGCTGTGGTGATTATGATGTTCGCGCGAGTGTGTGTGTGTATGTGTGTGTGTGTGTGTGACAATTTGTCCCTTACTGCAGCTGCTTGCGTGTCTTTTCACTTTTGATCTCCGAACCTCACGTTGATTCTTGATTTGTCCCCTCCCGCACATGCATTGCACATGCCTTTATGTGCCGTCCAGACTCAACCAACGCTTGCCGTTTATGATGTGGATCCCACCTGTCGGTGATCTCATCGAGCAATCAAGGGTGAGCGAGCGTGTGTGTGTGAGCTTGTGTGTGTGCGTGTGTGTGCGTCTGTTGCGTGTGGGTGTGTGTGTATATATGTATATCAGATCGTTCTTGTGGGGTGATTCGCCCCAGTAACAGCGTTTGCACATCATGTGCGCGCGCATGCATTCACAAACCACTGATTCCGCTTGTCGCCACCATCCTTGCGCTGACACACGTCATTGATCCCACCACCACCACCGCAGGATTACCTCGGCTTCTACGCGCGACGCGCAGCCATGGGCGACAAGTTTGGCGGCTTTATCAACTGGACCATGCGTCACCTCCTCGTCTGCGTCCACGATCCGGAAACAGCCCGCAAGGTGTGTGTACGTGTGCGCGCGTTTGTGCGTGCGTGTGTGTGCGTGGGTGTGTGTGCGCGTGCGTGCGTGTGTGTATGTTGTAGGGGCGGATAAGCATACGCGTGCGTACCTACCGTGCCGACTTTGCTGTTCGTGGCGCCAATTTACCCGTGTGCTCAGTCTTCTCACGCATGTGCCACTGCATCACACCACTCCCAAACGCCAGTTCCTCGCCATGGACGACCTGACCTTCTCGCGCGACTTCTCCATCTTCTGGGTGGTTAACCAAATGGCCGGCAAGGTGAGCGCTGTGTCACGCGTGTC